CTCTTAGATAAACTTTCCATCATATTACAACTGTTAAATATAAGTCCTGTAAGTATTTGGAATCGATATCTTTGTTGACTCCACCGGGAACAGCCGTACAGGGTATGTTCAACGTCATCAACTGCGCCGCAGTATTTGCAAAGATCAGTATTGGACCTTTTTCGTTGAAAGAGATAGCTCGGATGCATGCAGTTCTCTGAATCCTACCTAGCTTTTGTATCAGTCTTTTATTTTTCGTCACCTTGTGCCACGCTGGAGCCGCATATAGAATTTGTGAGTGCATTACACCCATGAGAACTCGCCTTCTAGATGATCTTGATTCTCCGATATTTGATAAAAGTCGAGTTAATAAACGTGTAGTGTTCTCGATCTTTTCTATGGTTTTATTTATATGCTTAGCGAAAGTTCTTTTGTGTCTAGCGATACGCCAAGGTACTCTAAATAGTATTCTTAATAGCTCGCTTTGGCATAATTATAGTGTCTGTTATCTGAAACATTGACAGCTTTCTTTTTGTAGTAGATAAAAGAACGGCTTCGGTCTTCTGCGGGGCCAACCTCAAGTTTCTGCTAAGCAGCCATTTGCACGTTCTTATCAGCGAGGTGTTAACAATACCCATTAATATGCATTCATTTTTGGCTACTGCTACCATCTGCAAACTCTATTAATGTAACGCCTTCAGGCATTTCTACTTTAAGCAAGTCATCATATAAAATGTTCCACAATGTAGGACCCAAAACTGAGCCTTGCGGAACACCACTATTAATGGTTAGCGTTTTTATTGAATTCTCCGCTTCGATCTGTATTGACCGATTTGAAAGATACGATGGTATGATATTGATCAAATTCTTCTCTATGCCTCTTCTATCTAATGCCTCTAAAATGTGTTGCCACGAGGCGCTGTTAAATGCATTTTGCACATCAAGGGTGATGACTGTACAGATTCTTCGGTTCTGGAGAGCAAAGTTTGCTGCATCATCCGCTATTCTAAGTACCTCACGACACATCAACAGTTTGTCGACCCTTTCTAATGCCGTACTGCTTTTCGGACAGACTTTTATCGGGCTGCGAGAGTTCTTCTTGTAGCTTTCCCAATATCAAATGGTCGTATAGTTTTCCCTCTACATCCAGTAGGCTAATGGGTCTATATGCTGTTGGATCATGAATTACTTTATTTCTTTTCGGAAATAAAATAAGTTTAGCTTTCTTTTAATCAATAGGAAACTTTAATTCATAAGCCATTTGGTTGTATACAGAGGGTATATACTTAGGGTTTAATTCTGTTTTAATTTTTAATACTTCAGCGGGCACTTTTCCAGGTCCAGGAGATTTTTTATTTTTCATCTTATCACAGGCTTCTTTTAATTCTTCTTGACTAAAACTAATTTTCTTATTACTAGTAGTATCGTGTAGTTACTACACAGTATCGTGTTTTGGAAATAAATTACTGACTACCTTCTCCGTAAAACTCATAGTGAGTTTCGGATTTGTTTTGAATCCATATAATTTCTTCATTACAATTTTGTATCCATTTCCAAATATATCACAGTCAAGGGTATCATAAATTGTTTTCCAACAATCTTTTTTAGCTTTTTTAATGGAATCTCTAAGTTTTTTCTTTTGAACTTTATATTCGTCCCAAAGTTGGGTAGAAATGTGCAAACTTCGGTGAGAGTTTTTCAATAACAACTATACCTAAATTGTAACTTACCTTGCATGATATTTATTTAAATAACCATTGTTTTTTAAACCAAATTAAAATTTGACCCGCAAAGTTACACAGCGGGAGACAAAATTAATATTGAACATTGGTCACTTTTAAAAGCAAGTTACTCCTTTATTTTAAAAGCAACACCCAATATATTATTCTGATGTTCAATGGAGAATTCATATATCTTCATAAGTGGCTGAGATATATATTGATTGTTAATTTAACAAACATGAAAGGATGTAGAGTAAAATACGAAACGGTAACAAAAAGATACACGTTTATAACATTTTAATTATTACAGAATTAAAACTAGATATAAACGTATAATTATGTGACAAAAATTAGGTAGATGAAATCAAATAATCAAAATGCTTCCGTTTTTCTGTTCATTGCATGAAATTATTCTCTTTTCAAACGAGAGATTCTTTCATGTTAAAAGACATGTGTTCGATGTGGGCACTTCGAAAAGCAGGCACAGTAATTTCTCTCATGTTGTCGACAATAGTTGGTAGAGTTTTGCACTGAGTAAGCCACTGTCTTTAACACATGTCGCCATAAAAAAAGCCCAGACTAGGTAAATCAGGAGCATTTAAGTATTCTATTAATTAGCGAATGCACACTGCAGTCACCAACTAACTAATAGAATCATATCTCTTCGATCTGGTGTATGATAAGTTTCCATTTTTGGCAAATTTCTGAGATTTTTTTTTTTATTTTAATTGACACAAAATGATAACTAGTTGTTAAAGTTGAACTAATTTAACAACTATGTTAAAGTAACGTCAGAAGACATAATATAATATACTGGGTGTTCCGTTTAAAATAAAAGAATACTTGCTTTTAAAGGTGACCAATGTTCAATATTAATTTTGTACAGGATGAGGTAGAACTTTTTGGGGTCAAACTTCAATTTGTTTTAAAGTACAATAGTTATTTTAACTTTTAGCTTTTATTGAAATTTAAAAATTGTTCTTCATTTTTAGAAAATGTTAAATATGTCAAAAATCTTACATCTTAGCACAGAATATCTAGCTACGCAACAGAAAAATACTCGAAATGAAAGAGCTAAAATTGCACAAATAAAATACTAGATGGCGCGACAATATCATAATCAGAATATAATTGAAAATTTTCAACTTTCAGTTTTGGATCGACGCTGTGGATCGACGTAGATCGACGGCACGTCGACGGCCTTGAAGCTCGGCTAAAAATGCACGGTTGCCAGATTCAAACAGACTTTAATTGGCATCCCATTCTTTTTCTGGTGTATAATAATTTCTTTCTATTCTTCGTTTCTTGTCAGATACACTTATATTAATTATTCGTTTGGTTTTTAAAATAGTTTTAATTTTATGTATATTATTAGAAAACATATGCTCTCAAAATACATTTTTAATATACGCTACTTTATTATGTTAACTAAGAAAATAACTTTAACTACCTTTAAAATTAATAATATACAGGGCGATTGATAGTGATATTTATTAATGCTGAAACGTTAGTAATGAAATATACGTTTAATAAAAATGGAAATGATTTATTAAAATGCAGTACAAAAAATGTTAATTGACTAAAAAAATACTATAATAACAATTTTTTTCTGTTTGCTACGTTATTTATATAGACCTAGGTAGATTTTAAAAAGTGACACAGGTACAATTAATAATATATTAGTTCGGCATAAAAATTGCCGTCACCGACATCGTACAATAAATTAAAATTCATAAAATAAATTAAAATTATTAATTAAACAAATATTTATAAAGAAACACAAGTATATCAAATTTGGGCCCAATGGAACGCCAGGAAATGGTATCGTAATATGGTACTACATTATGGTACCCCTTGATATGCTTCATGGTAATGTCATCAAAAATACGCAAATATAATCAAATATGAGCCCAATCGAACGTCAGGAAGTGGTATCGTAATATGGTACTATATTAAAGTACCACTTTATATATGCAACATAGTAGATGCATCATAGTACCATCATATTACAATGTCACCGAAGATACTTACTATACCAAGTTAAGCCCAATCGAACGCCAGGAAATGGTATCGTATATGGTACTACTATGGTACATCTTGATATGCTTCATGGTACCATAAAATTGTAATGTCATCAAAAATATGCAAGTATATATCAAATATGAGCCCAAATGAACGTCAGGAAGTGGTATCATAATATGGTACTATAGAAGGTACCAATTTATATGCTCAATCGTGCCATCATATTACGATGTTACCGAAAATACGTAGTATACAAAGTTTAAGCTCAATCGAACGCCAGGAAATGGTATCGTAATATGGTACTACATTATGGTACCCCTTGATATGCTTCATGGTACCATAATATTGTAATGTCATCAAAAATACGCAAGTATAATCAAATATGAGCCCAATCGAACGTCAGGAAGTGGTATCGTAATATGGTACTATATTTAGGTACCACTCTATATGCATCATAGTACCATCATATTACAATGTCACCGAAGATACTTACTATACCAAGTATAAGTCCAATCGCACGCCACGAAATGGTATCGTATATGGTACCTCTATCGTATATGGTACCTCTATGTACTATTATGGTACCTCTTGATATGCTTCATGGTACCATAATATTACAATGTCACTGAAGATACGTAATATACCAAGTTTAAGCCCAATTGAACGCCATGTATCGTAATATGGTACTATATTACAATATCACTTGATATGCTTCATGGTACCATAATATTGCAATGTCATGAAAAATACACAAGTATATATCAAATACCGTATAATGTAAATATTACAATATAAATTACACAATAGCAACACTGCATAAAATTCTTTTGAATTTCGTTTGTAGAAAACTGTTTTCTTTTAAATTTATCGCCCTCTGTTATGTAGTAGTGAAACTACCACATCAAAATATCTGATTTGGAGACAGGCTTTTAAAGCCTGTCTCCTTTTGAGATCTACGATTTTATACATGTAACGACGCGACGCTTCTGTTGCGTAGCTAGATATTCTGTGATCTTAGTCATATACTTCTCTAATAAAACTCACCTTTATATTTCTCCTAGATCCCTCGAAAATCAATGAATATATAGGGTGTTTACAGAAAACACAACTTGATGTGTAACGTTTTTTGGCGATACTCTGTAGAACTCTATATTTTTAAAAAGTACTCTAAATCAACCTACATATGCTCACAAAATTTCGTTTCAATACAGTGATTCTCCTTGGAGCCTCCGCGTAGTATGAGAGGCGCCACCCGGTATAAATAAAAGTATTGCTTCATCTAATTCAAACAAGCAGTTTATTATAGTAAAATCTATAATCAACATAAAAACTTATATATAAAGTAATGTTTAGTGTTCTGGAACGACTTCAGTGTCATATACGTTATGTATATAAATTTTGTTGGCTGTACATTTTTGAAAACATCATGCGTCGGTAGTCCTCTTCTGCCGCCAAAATTTGATGTAAACGTAACTCGGCTTCGTCCAAAAACACATGATACACATCCTTATTTGACAAAATAAATTTCTCAAAGTGCTCCTTGCGCAACTTGTAAATCTTGGAAGTTTCTATGGCTATTATGGTTGCTGTTGCTTGAGTATCTTTTAATAAAAGGGACAATTCACCGAAATAGGCACCGTCATGCAAGTGGCAAACTTCTCTACCTGAGTACGTATAGAGGGCTACAGTACCTGAAGCAAGCAGAAACAAGAAACGTCCGTGGCTTCCACATGATACGATCACATCGTTGGGACAGTACACTTCCATTTCAAAATTTTCTAATACTTTTGTCATGGCCTCGTCACTCAGTTTACCGAAAATTGTAACGTTAGTTTCCTTAAGTACTCGTAACTTGTTGTTTCTAATTTTTAACTCCAGACTTGCTGATAGTAATCTGCCAATACTACTTTGATGGAAATAACGCTTGCGATAGTAGAAATCGTAATAATCTACCATTTGCTTTTGTAAATTATCAGGCAGCTCCTTGTTTTTCATCCAATTTTTTAACTGTGAAATTATCTGTTGATATTTCACTTCCTGCATATTTCGTGTCATAAAAGCGTGCAGAATAGCCACCCAGAATACAAAGTGTAGTAATCTTCCAAGAGTGTAACATATTAAGTTTAGTATACTCGTATCATATGATCCCTTAGAGGATGTTATTTCGATACCGGTTATTTGGGCAGAGGCCCTGAAAAATGACGTGAAATATTGACGGCGCAGCGATTTATTAAAAAGGTCGTTGTTCAGGACCCATGTGTCCCTAGGCCAGGATCCAAATAATGACTTTTGGTAATAGGGTAAGGCAAAGGATAAGCACGCCATTATGTGCGTAAACCAAAAAATGATATACACAAACCTTACTAACAGGACACATAAGTATGATTCTATTCGGAGATATTCAAACAATCTTCCTATTAATCCTATGACTTTAACTACCAGTAGGCTCTTGATCAATGCCGATACGTTATATACGTTCCAAACTATTGTAACGCACGAACCATTGCATATTATGTATATGGGTACTGATGATACTACTTCTATCAAAAAGAAAAAGTTTGTGAAACGGTACAGCAAAATACGTGGAAAACTGAATACTATTTGTTTACCGTCGGAATATCCTCGAAAGCACATTAGAAATATATTGAACCATGAAAAAAAATCTACAACAGTGATCATAGTTATAAGTTGCGCATATTCATTTTCTTGAATTTTTTGATAACGTATGTATGCTGCGTCCATTGTTTTCACTCCAATAGCAATCATGTACAGGAATAACATAAATATATCGTGCACTACTGATAGTTTGCTAATAGGATGCATTATGAAGAAATATCGAGAGTAATAATGGCGTTTTTTTTCCTTTCGAATCGAACGTTCGCTACGAAAATATCTTAGACATAATGGATTCGCTTCCGATAACAGTATCCATGAGAAGAATGAACGTTTGAATGTTTCGTAATAGCTGTGAGTCTGTGGCTTTGGGGGTATTACTTCAATTGGAACATCACACTCGTGGTAGAATTTCTGATTCATAATATAAAATCATGCAGTTACAGGATAATAAAGATAATGACATATAATCAAAGCATATAATGTGACATATTTATATTAAAATAGGTATGATAACTATGGTAATAAGGTAAATAAAGGATGGAAGTAGGTATATCAGCATAGAGGTAGGTTTATACAAAAATACACGCGAATCACGAATATTGCTGTTATTGGTCGTTTTCAAAAAGAATACAGAGGCGGCAAAATTGTTTCAATATTTTGCGAATTCGCATAATTTAAAATGTAGGGGGCGGGACTTAAACAGCTAATTTCCGAATATCATGGTCCCATCTCAGGTTTCGTCTTCTTCTAGATCTCTTAATTCCTCGTGGGTACCATGCTGTAATTTTTGTGGCATATCCTTCTTGCCAGGGGTCCTGCCCCATGCCACTTAGAGGATTCGATTCTGTGGATGACATCTGTTACATGGGTCATTTGTCTTATCCACTCTATACTTTTACGGCCTTTTTTCGTTATTCCCAGCATATTTCGTTTCATTCTATTATATATTTCGTCGCATTGAGCATTATTTCGTTTCATCCTTATAATGTGCGTTTAAAATATCCAGGTTTCGCATGCATAGGTAATACATTAATCGAAGGTTTTCTTCTTTAGATAAAGTGGCATTCTAGACTTGAATATGATTGAGTTTCTTCCATAAATACGTCATGCTAAATTAATTAATTAATTCTTCTATTGATTTCTGTTAGTAGAGATCCCGAGCTGTGTATTAGGTTAGGTTAGGTTAGGTTGCTCCCAAGGCGTCAAACGTTATATACAGGAGCTATTATTATTATTAGGTTAGGTTGCTGGGGTTTAGGATCATGTTTGACCTCTCAATTGGAGGTTTTGGTCCCATTGCAATACTCCTGTTATTGTTGAACCAAACCTTCCTCTCATTCTTTCTTTGCGTTAAAGCACTTCCAGCTCTTTGCAAATTTCCCGATTGTCGCTGATGTTGGCTGCTGCTGCTTCCCTAGTCCCTCCAAAAAACCTTGCTCTAAAGTTTTAAAGCGTCGGTACTCCAGTGCCGGACAGTAGCACAGCAGGTGCTCTATGGTTTCTTTTTCCTCTCCGCATTCTCTGCAGTAGTCGTCGTTGGAAATCTTTCATCTCACGAGGTTTACCCCCGTGGGGCAGTTTCCTGTGATGACATTTACAATTATGCGTACTAGGTTCTGTTTGTGCTCTAGCAGTTATTTTGTCTTTTTGCTATCTACCACTGGCCATAGTCTTCGAGCTGTAGCGCAGTCCTCACGGTGTTGCCACGTCTCTTGCTGCTCGCTATAGCTTCCTTCAGTGTGTTGATCGTCACAAGTGGTGGGTCAGCTGTAACGGCCTCTCCCCTAGCCCCCTCTTTGGCGAGTCTGTCTGCTTTTTGTTACCTGTTGCGGAAGCATCTGTGTAGACTTCTATCTCTTGAGTGTTCATTACTCGGTTGCTTTCCCATTCTTCTCTAGTCGGGATGCGAATCCTTATATTTTCTCCAAAATCATGTTTAGTGTTAGGTTAGGTCCCAAATATATATATTCTTCTACTATTTCTAGTGTTGTGGTATTATTTGAATGTCTTTTCTGTCTACTAGTTTGTTGTACATAACTTTAGTTTTTGCTAATTTCATTTTGAGACCTACTTTACTGCTGGGTGGTTCGTTAATTTTTGCCAGTGGCGTAACTATCGATGTGCCGTCTGTGCGAAGCATTTCCATATCTATCACACGCCATTTCCATATCTATCACATGCTATCGCGAATCAAGCAGAATCACATGTTTTCTTAACTACTTAACTAGCATACGCTATCGCGAAAATAACTTATTACTTTACACTTGTTCTTGTGCAATTTTATAGCTGTGTTTTCCTTTTTATTTTACAAAATAAAAATAACTGGAAATATGTGATTTCTCATTAGAGCATTAAATTTGACAAAAAGGAAATTTGCTGTATTGTCACTGGATTTCTGTACCATCAAATAGAAATAGAACTAAGCTAGTTGTAGCATCAAAAAGAGCATGAAAAATTATACTGGCCAAACTAGTTAACTCAAAATCACAAAAACTCTCGTTACCTAATGACTGTATTAAGGGGACGATAAGGCAGCTGGGTTACGAGAGGTGCCCGAAACTGCCACTTTTTTAAAATCACCCTGTAGCTCAGTAACTAAGAGGGCCATGACAAATTCTTTTAGGGCATCTCCCATTTTGTCTAAAAATAGCCGACTATTGTGAGAACCTATTCATAAGGGCAACAAAACACATGAAAATAGGATACCCTGTAGGTACAAGGTATTCCATTCGTAAAAAATATCTTATTATCGCACCCTGCATACGAAGGGCATAAAAAAATTGCTATAGCACTTAATTTCAATTTGCTCTTGCTTCAAATAATATCGCGATTACCTGTGCTGGTTATGACGGAAATTCCCAATACTTCTTTCTTAACATGTTCATGTTCCTATTTACATTGTTTATTTTAATTTAGTTAGTTTCGTTGTTGTTTTTTGTTTTGTTTTTATTTATTTGATATTTTATGTTTTGGGTTACATAATTCTGTGTTGCAGTAATAAGTAATACTATATAAAAATTAATTTGATAATGTTATTTCTAACCTAAAATATGAGTGCATATTATTCAGATTAGTATATAAGTATTGAAATATGTAGGTAGGGGGCCCTATAGTAATAGGGGGCCCGGTAAAATGTTTACACACAGGCCCGTGAGTCTGTTGTTACATTTACGTTGTTACAGTACTGTTGTTACGTGTTACGGCCACTGATTTTTGCTGGTAGTTTTTCAGGACTATGTTATCAGGGAATCTTAGATGGTTATGATGTTCTCCATTTATTTTTAATTTTTTGTTGATTCAGTCCAGTTGACGGAAGATCTGTTCTAGTGTTGCTGGAAAGAACTTTGGGAATATCGCGTGTCCGTGTCGTACTGGGGTTGTTTTTATATATTTATTTTTCTTTGGCTTCTTTATTTTATATGATAATATAGACAAGGATTATCGAGTATCTGCCACCGATATTAGCCAATGGGAATGTTAATTTATTATTAATAAAATGTATATAAAAGATTGCAAATTCTATACATATAATTAAAATATTTTTTGAAGTTTAAATTTTCTAAAAGAATTTCAATACTGAAATATCTTATCTGTCACTATAATAGTTTTTCTATGTGCTACAAAAGAGAATTTTCTTTTGGTTTTAATTATCTGTATCTGTCATATACTTGTGAAGGGAGTATTATTAAAAGTAGCGCTCTCTGTCTCTAACTCATCTTAGTTTCTAATTAAGCAAATAAGGGAGATATTTCAACCAGAGACCAGAACTGAAGAGCCGAGCGCGAGACATTCCAAATTCGCTAAGTGTGGACGGGTTTCGCGAGAGCCTCGCGAGCACTTCGTGATACAACCCACGGAGCCTCGTTGCTATCCGTCCCCTGTCGGTTTTTCGACAGCCGATCAAAGAAAGCTCGCGGCTAAGTCTGGATGTGTTTTTGGTAGGCTCCCTTGACTGCGAGATATTAGCTCTGATTTATGAATTTCGTCTATTTAAAATTAAGTAATCTCAAATTTTTAAATGATAGAATTTACAAATTTTGCATCATTGATAAGTTTTACCGTACCGAAATCTAACATTTCTTTAAACAAATTGAATCATTACAAAATCTATTAATTTTAGATATATATATATCATATGTAAAAAAGTTACCTAATTGTAGGTAGAATCTAATAATAAAATAAAAATATATGTTAATATATAATGTATAATATAATATATGTTATAATAATAATAGTATATTAAACAACGAGTTTCGAAAACGGCGTTTTGCACACGAGTTCGACAGTTTGTTGGCTCGAGCCGCAGGCAAGAGCCACAAGTCGAACGAGTGTACAAAGAAGTTTTCGAACGAGTTTTTTACGCTATTTTTTCTACGACTACAAATTAGCAACAGACTGACTCAGTTTTTGCCAGTTTTGTGGAATATTTTGCGATGTAATGATGACACTTTTCTGACGGCTGCGTTGAGTTTGGCGTTTCACCTAAATATTGGAGGTTAAAAAGGTTAGAAATTGACACATGTTGTGTGCACTAAGAGTAAGCGTGCGCAAAAATTGCACACTACAAAATTTGCGCACGGTGTGTGAAAAACGTCACTTTCAGATTGACTTTAGCGTGCGTTTTTTAACATTTTACATAGCAGTCGTAGAAAAAAATATATGTTATATCCGCAACACTTTTTTGACCTGTATACTGTACAGTAATGTTAAAAAATGTACTTCTTAACCTTCCCAATAACTTTTCTATTTAACATTTTGTTCTAAAAAACGTTAAAAAACGTATTATGTAAAAAACGTCGTGTCTCAAAAGAAATGAAGGAACAAAGGGGAAAACAGCCAAAAGGGGAAAAACCGACGATGAATAAAATACGACAAACTCAATACCATGTTAAAGATACAAAAATGTATTACTGTATGCGTTATTATTTGGTCATCGTTTGTTATATTCAATTACAATTTAATATGTGTTTGGCTTCCTTTCACTATGATTCAACTCGTTTGTCTCGTGGCACTTACATCAAAAAATGGATAGAAAATGTCTCGCTCTTGCCTCGCTCTTGTCTTGCTCTCGTCTCGCGCTCGGCGCGTCAGGTCTGGACGCACCATTACGAGTTTAAAGCAAGTCATTTTCAGAGGCCGTGTGATATAAAGATCATTGACATTACAACTTCGTATTCTAACCACTGGCACTAATTTCAAAACATGTGCAAATTTTCTATTCATTCGAATAGAGAATTTGCACTTTATTTTTTGTATTTTTGCAATTATATTTTAATTTAAATAGTATTCACTATTTAAATTAAAATATATGTAATTATTTTTTTTCTGTTTCAGACTGAACAGTTCACTATTTTATGGTTTCTCTTTTCTATAATTGTCCTGGGAAACTCGGCTGTTTTAATAGCACTTTATATTAATAAAAACAGAAAATCCAGAATGAACTTTTTCATTAGACAACTTGCGATAGCAGGTAAGTACTACATGTTATTAAAATAATCTGAATTATGTTAGTCTCATCTTAGATATAAGTTTTAATTTTTAGTTTAAAAAGTCATATTTCATTCATTTTTATGAAATAAAATATTCTGACAGAAATATAATTATAATAATGAATTGAATTTACACATATATATCCCCTTTTACTTTTGTTACTGAGCTTTTGTTAAATATTTATTCTACTTGTACCTTTTTTAAATAAATAAAAAATTACAATTTTTAGTCTAACAGAAATTTTTGAGAATAATTTATTTGCAATTTTATAACATTGTTATTAAAAAAATCCACCCACAATTTTTTAACAAACTGGTTAGAGCAGTGATGATTTATACAATTTGAAAAGTTGCAATCGGAAATATTTTTTGGGCAAAAAACACATTCATGAAAAACAAATACATCAAATACATGTCAGAGGATCGAAGAGTAACCAAAATGAGGTAATTTTTGAGTCACCTTGCCTCAGTTCTTAGAGATTAACCACAACTACTTATTTTATAATACAAATTTAGCTTATGTGGAACATCGTTGAATATTGAATAGCCTTCTCTTATAATAAAATATTAAATGGTATTGTTTTATAGATATCGATGTTTAAAAGTAAGTAAAATTTATGAAGTAATTTTTTAAAAATAAATGCAGGCATAATCTCAAATATACCTCAGGAAAACCATCGTTCCTCCTTCAGTCCTCCGACATACAGGGTGTCATTGAAATGGTGTAAAAAAAGTACTCCTAAAAATAATAAAAAAAATTCCTATAAGTATATGGTGGAAAATGCATATTAAGGGAGTTAGGGGCACTGAAAGGGTGAATTTAAAAAACGGTTGTTTTGCAATTATTGTAGGCTTAAAAAACAAGATAAAATTTCGAAAATCCTCTGCCATAAATTTTGACCCTAAATCAAATGGTGATGTTGAAAAATTATTTGGAAAAGCGGAAAGGGTAGTTTTTGCAAGGGTAGGGGGTTGTTTCGCGAATAACTTTTTTGAGGTTATTTTTTTTGCAACGTGGGGTTATTTTTTGAAAACTACATACTTTTTTCTACAAAAAAGTTATTCTTGTTGCACATCGTCCAGAGCGATGGTTTTCGAGAAAATTGAAGGCAAAGATTTTGCCCTGGTGGGTTGCAAACTGGTTAATCAATATAAATTTATGAAAGTTATAGCGGTTCAAAAGTAACCATGTAGTTATTAAACAATTAATTGGAAAATCATAAATTTCATGATATTTAAAACATCTTATTGCTTTAAAAACGAAATAAACTTTTTTGGTTTTAACACAGATAACACATAATCCAGATGGCCATTGCTTACGGAACAGCATGTTTTCGATGAGACAGTTCCCTATTAATGACACAGAGGGCGCCTATAGCCAAATCTAATAATATTTTTAAAACGAACGAATTTGGAGCCACACCACGGCCACGCGATGTGAAGCGACGTAGCCGGTTGTTCACATTTATAAGCAAATTCCCGGTCAAACCCAGGAAAAATGTATATTCGGACTTTAATACTAGACAATTGGATATGAAAATACTAGTCGCAGTGGATGTTTGAAAGTCAGAATTTCTAGATGCATATATATTCTATTTATAGCCATGAAATTTATAATTTAGATTTTATTTTTATTATTTGTCTCTTAATATTCATTAGCTGAAAATAAGGGTAAAGGTTATCTATATAGTAATAAATAAAATTTGGCACATAGGTTCCTTAAGTGATGTAAATGAGCACTAAGAAGGGATTTTTTGAAAATTCGACCGCTAAGGGGGTGAAATTAGGGATGAAAAGCTGCATAAAAATTTGTTAAAATCTGGTTTAAGAGTATGAAATTTTTCACGAGTGCTCCTTGACTGACGTAATTGAACACTAAGGGGCAATTTTTGGAAATTCGCTCGTTAAGGGGGTGATATGGGGGGTACTTTTGTATACAAAAAAAAGCATGTCCTAGGACTACGAAATTTTGCACAGAGGTGCCTTAAGTAGCGTAACTTAACAGTTCGATTATACAAAGCGATTTTAGGAAATTCTTCTACTAAGGGGTGAAACTGGGGGTGAAATTTTGTATACTTTTTTAAAATTAGTCCGAGGAGTTTGAAATTTGGAAATTGTTAATTAAGTGACGAAAGTGAGTACTCAGAAGCAAATTTTGGACATTCATCCCCTAAGAAATAAGGGATGAAAATTGGTATAAAAATTTGTTAAAATCGGTTTTAGAAGTATGAATTCTGCGTAGACGTTTCTTATGTAACTTAATTTAGCACTAAGAGGCAATTTTTGGAAATTTTCCTCTAAGGGGGTGAAATGAAGGGTGAACGTTCTGAAAAAATCTGTCCTAGAAGTATGAAAATTTGCACAGAGGTTCATCAAGTGATGAAAGTTATACTCAGAAGCGAATTTTTAGCATTCATCCCTTAAGAAATAAGGGATGAAAATATGTACAAAAATTTGTTAAAATCGGTTTTAGAAGTATAAAATTGTTCGCAGACGTTCCTTATATAAGGTAATTTAGCACTAAGAAGCAATTTTTCGAAATTTTCCCTCTAAGGGGGTGAAATGAGGGGTGAACTTTCTGAAAAAAATCTGTCCTAGAAGTATGAAAATTTGCACAGAGGTTCCTCAAGTGATGAAAGTGAGTACTCAGAAGCGAATTTTAGGCATTCGCCCCATAAGAATTAAGGGATGAAAATTTGTACAAAAATTCATTAAAATCGGTTTTGGAAGTATGAAATTTTGCGCAGACGTTCCTTATGTAACGTAATTTAGCACTCAGGAACAATTTTTGGAAATTCGCCCTCTAACGGGGTGAAATGAGGTGTGGACGTTCTGAAAAAAAATTGCTTGTTATTACTAAATTACGTTACATAAGGAACAAACAGAATTTCATACTTCTAAACCCGATTTTAACAAATGTTTGTACAAATTTTCATCCCTTATTTCACTCTCTTAAGAGATGAATGTCCAAAATCCACCTGTACAAAATTCCACACTCGTAGGACTGTTAGTTTTAACTAACAATTTATTAAAGTGCAACTATATAAAAATTATACAGGGTGGCGCCTCTCATATGACTCGGAGGCTCCAAGGAGAACGACCAGTTCGTATTGAAATGAAATTTTGTGATCATATGTAAGTTAATTCTGCGTACGTTTTAAAAATATAGAGAGTTCTACAGGGTGTCCCCAAAAAAAGTTACACATCAAATTTGTGTTTTTTTGTAACGGAATACCCCCTTTATTAATTAATTTTTAGATTCTAAGAGAAAAATAAAGGTGTGTTTTATTAGGGAAGTATATGACTGAAATGTAAGGTTTTAGCCATCGCTGACGCCGTTTTTTCGATCATATGGTATATCAAATAAAGTATTATTAGAAAAGCTCACTAGATTGTTTTCTAGTAAAAAAAGACCTTATTTTGTCACAACAGGTGACATTTTTTTGTTTTAAATCAAGTAGGTTTTAAAAAAACTACAATAGGTAAAAAAGTTTCTAAACAAATAGAATATCCAAATTAATTTATTTCCAATGACAATAATGTGTAAGTTTGTAATTAAAGTTAGTTAATAAGAATAATAGGTGTAGTATATTTCAACATCATTCACTGGTTTTAAAAACATCAAAAAATATGCATGTGTTTTCATAGTATAAATATGAATTGTTCCTTACGTTAGTTCTTATTGATATAAAAGCAAAAAAGTATAAAAATTAAAAGCTGCAATTTTATTAAAAATATGTTATTCTAACACATATTTTTTTAACTGTAATGTTCTAAATTGATCAAAATATAAATGTTATTTTTTTCCTAGGAAAAATAAAACTTCATAACTTAATTTTCATAAATAAATTTATTTCTATTAAATTTTATAGAGCAATTTGTATTACAGTTTTATTTCACATATTTTGTAATACTGCTTCGGTGCAGTGCCCCATTGCTATCTGTGAGTTCATTTAAATTATGACGACATTACTGATCTAGAAGATAAAAATGTACCTAAGTACCTTAATATTATAATCAAAAATGACTAATTTTGTAAATTATTACCTATAATGGTTAGATGAGTTGTGAATGTAAACTTCTTTACGCTGGTTTCTTGAAGTTAGGTGATATTAATTATCTTCGCATCATCATGGGCTCTAATCAACTGTGGAGTATTCGTCAATCAACCTGAAATATGTAATATTATTTACTTTATATTTGCGAAAAATTCTCATTTTCTTTTTATGAAAATTTTGAGTTTAAATTTATATGTGATTAGAATAAATATACATCAGTATTTAACATTTTATCATAGGTAATATTCTATATATTATCTGTGATTTTATGCTAAAATGTTTAGTTTTGTGAAAATATTACTTACCTATAATATTTAAACGAGTTCCTGAATGTACAATTTGTTTATCACGATGTCAAGTTCTAAAATCTTGTATTGGTTGTCTAAAACTGTTTGATTTTGCTTAGTTATATTGTATCCTATATTTTATTAAACAAACTCAAAATAATGTTTATAATTACCTTCATCAGCCTTCATATCATTAAAGTTATTATTATCACTTATCATTATCAGTCATTATGTAGTTATTTGTTCATTTCTTGCTCTGTTTGTTGTTGTTTGTTTTCAAAGATCATTTTTGAGGTTAATGTCATATGAAACTTTTCGCAATTAGGGAACTGGTAAATGACGTGTGACGATAGATTAATAAAATAATAATGAACGTATTAAGTTAAATATTTATATATTAATTTAACATATCTATTTCATGTTTATAAATTACATAATCTTTTAATTTTGTATACCTTTAATTTTATATATTCATAATGAAATGAAATATATTTCGAATAACGTTTGGCAACCACGCAACTGAAGTGCAAGCGACATCTGTGCAAGAGAAGCAAAACCTCCCAAAAAAGTGAGAAAAGAAATCTAAAAATTTCAGATTATTCAAATGTCACTCCAATATTTTTCCAAATTGGAGTGAAATTAGGGTGACAATTTTTAACACGTAAGGAGCCATCTGGATTATGTGTTATCTGTGGTTTTAAAAAAATTTGGTTTACTCAGAATACTGAAAAGCAACTACGGCAACGCATTATTGACTGTTCCAATCAAATTCGGACAACACCAAGGATATTCCACAGGGTAAGAAGATGGTGGAGAAGAAGATCAGATGTCTGCATTGAAATTAATGGTGGTCACTTTGAACATTTACTATGAATGAATTAAGGAATACGTTATTTTAATAAGGAATTTTGGTAATTGGATTATTTCGTTTTTTAAAGCAATACGATGTTTTAACAATCATGAAATTTTGATTTTTCAATTAATTATTTGATAACTACTTGGTTACTTTTGAACCGCCATAACATTCATAAGTTTATGTTGATTAACCAGTTAGGTACCCATCAGAACAAACTCTTTTCCTTCAATTGTCTCGAAAACCATCGCTCTAGGCGATGTGCAACAAGAGTACCTTTTTTGTAGGAAAAAGTATGTAGTTTTCAAAAAATGAACCCACGTTGCAAAAAAATAACCTTAAAAAAATTATTCACGAAACAACCCCCCACCCTTGCAAAAACTACCTTTTCCGCTTTTCTAAATAATTTTTAAGTATCACCATTTGATTTATGGTCAAAATTTATGGCAGAGGATTATTTTTCGAAATTTTATCTCGTTTTTTAAGCCTACAATTTCAAAACAACCGTTTTTTAAATTCACTCTTTCAGTGCCCTTAACTCCCTTAATATGCATTTTCCGCCCTATACTTATAGGAACTTTTTTTACTATTTTTAGGAGTACTATCACCCCCCGAACTTTTTTTACGCCATTTTAATGACACCCTGTATATTTGAGATCTTCCTAGTAATTTTCGTCTATATTAGGGGTAAACTATGGAATTAACATTAGTTTAAAATTTTAGATTTGACCGTTGGATTAGTAAATGTGTCAACTGATATCGCCTGGAGAATAACAGTAAGTATTACTGAAAAAAAGTTGTTTTATTAAACACATACTCAAAAAAAATGTATTGAAGTGGACATATAAAGTAATATGTAAGATCTAAATAAAAAGGAGGAAAAAATTCAGGAGTTGGTGGGTTTTACAAAACAAGGTTGTCTTTTCCGCATAAACATTTTCGATATGGCCTTAGTCTACAAAATTATTTGTTGAATAACAATTAAATCACAACAAATATATTGTCTCTCTACATTTTATTTTTCATAGATTATTATTTAAGACTGAAAAATTTAAATTATACTTCAGTTGGACACGTCCTCCTAGATCACCCTGTAGTAATACTTCTGTCACTGTTTTGAGCGCATGTTTAAAGAAAATGATTCACCGCCTCCCATATCACACCACCTTTGTGTCTCATTATACTTCTTGCGCTGGCACAAGCAGCAGTGTAAATTTAGCAGACAAAATTTTGTACAAAATTAGCGGAAATGGGTAAAGAAAAGAGAAGAAACTTGAAAAGAAAACTCTATACATATGAATCAAGTAAGTAAATAACCTTTAACTCCCTAATTATTTTTTTTTAGTTCATACAAGTAAACAAGGGTAGTAGAAATAGCTATGAGATGATCTAGGGGGTGTAGGCTATTATTCTACACCCCGCATTGCCTAAAATTATATTATTTTCTTCGGCGACACGGCAGTAAATTGCCTGCCTTAAAACATACCATTCATGACTCATAGCACTATCGAATCCGGTAAATAAACAATTTTTTGCCGATTCGAGTATAAGCAATTTTTCTTATCTGCTCGATGAAGTAAACCTATATTAAAATTTAACGGTACCTAAACGTTATTCTGGGCATAAAAAAGGTGGACTCTTGCTAAATAATCAAGTGTCAGTAACACCTACAGGGTGCTAATAAAGTACTTGCTAAATATCCAAGTACCGGCAACACCCATTGGGCGTCAATATCCTACAAGATTACTTGCTAAATATTTAAGTTCAAAATCTTAGTTGCACTTGCTAAATATTCAAGTGTCAGTAACACCTACAGGGTGCTAATAAAGTACTTGCTAAATATCCAAGTACCGGCAACAATATTCAAGTTCAAAATCTTAGTTGCACTTGCTAAATATTTATGTGCCTAGGAAATTAGGGTAAAAGGCCAAAGCCCAAAGTCACCTTGGCAGCCCAAAAGAAAACAAAAATGTGTTCGGAAATACGAATTAAGCCATTATCCTTAACGCAATATTTTTTTTTTATTTTTAGACAAGTCGCTACCTGTATATGGTTATCTATAATAGTGAGACGAATATTATGATTCTGTTTAATATTTACTAGCTGGGTTAATCCACATATAATTATATATACGTATAAATATCAATAGGCAAAGAAAAACTGATTTGTAACCCAGCATAGTCCTTGACTTATGCACGCTAGTATGTCTCCGAAAACTATTAACATGATCTGTATTTTCCGGCTAGATTTGGAAATTGGTGAGACAAATATTATGATTTTGTCTAATATTTACTAGCTTGGGTAATCCACCTTGTGGATATAAACATATGCTCATATAAACATTGTAACCCAGCATAGTCCTTGACTTATGCATGCTAGTATGTCTGAGAACTATTAAAATGATCTGAATCTTGGATCCTTTATTTTGTGGCTGTATTTGAAAAATATGCCTTGCAGTTTTTATTAAATAAAAGCTTGTGCTAAAACAGGTAACTTATATATTATACCCGGCCACATAACGCCGAATGGAGTGGTTTTCTTTTAATTCTTAACTCTATGGTTTTTCTCATATTTTTCTACAGCACCAGGGTGACGCAACATGTTGTTTGTTTACCTTTTTCTAGTGTGCTTTTTGCTCACTTTTGATAAATATTTTATTGTTCGTTTTGAATTGGAAATAATGAACTATATTTTTTTTAGACAGGTCAAAACGAATCTGAATCTGTTTAAAAATAAAAGCTACAAAACTATTGTTTACAAAAATGAGTACATGACTAAGTGCAAAGTAATTGTTCTTAAACTAAATATGCTATGGGGACGGGGAACTGCAGAAGTTGCACAAATGTACCTTAGGCCCTTGTTTATATATTTTTATATACAAGGCTTAGGCTGAGTTATAAAATATTTTATTAAAAAATATTTTAAACGCTCTCCAAAAATGTTTTTTATCTTTTATTAAAAGTACATATTCAGATAGTATTATATTAGGATTTGTCTTACACAAGTTTGCAATTTAAGAGGCCTTTTGGTTGCCATATAGCAAACAAAAGACAGTCTAAAATAATTTTCCCATCCTCAGCAATTGCAGTATATTATAAGGACCGAGATTAAATCCGGAGGTCCAAATCATGTTTTCTTCGACAGAAAGTAAGAAATATATTTTTTGATAGACCTACAGCACGGTTTTAGGAAAAACAATGTCACCACTAGACCAAACAATAACAAGTTTAGTGGAACTTTCCAAAGAAAATAACCAAGATAGTTACCCTTAAAATCTGATAAATTTAGGGAAACCGTTATGTTAGGAGCATCCTACTGTACGAACTATCGTAAGGTTTTTTATTAAATTCACACTTTAATAGTAAAATTAAAAGCGTGGCAATGCGATAGGTCAAATAAGCAATGATATGCCTTTTAGTAAAGTTTTAGTGAAAATTGCAAAGCCAAGAATCTTGACAATACCAGAAAAAAAAAATACTAGCAGGCTTATTTCAGAAACTTTACTACACACTTACAAATGGGTGCCTTGAGATCCAGGTGAAGGTCCACAGACAGAATAATGAAAAGATAAGAGGAGGAAAATTCCTAGAAGAGCCATTATAACAAGAACAAGGGGCGGGGGAGCAAGAATTCCAAAGAAGGCAGGATGTATTGGAGGAGATAATAATTCAGGTTAGAACTCAAAACAAATATGCTGGTATAATTGATTATTTACAGCCAATGGTTGGAAATAACACATAACAAACTTGTTTTAAGTTATATAAAAGGTTATAATAAATAAGGCTGCCATTAAAATACATTTTAGGTCCTAAACTAGTAGACCTAAACCTAAAATTTTAGACTAACCTAAACAATATAGTTATCGAGAAACTCTCATTGCAGCAAACTGGAATTTAAATTAAACCTTTAAAATATAAATATATGTAAGGTTCAAATTCACGGAAAAATATGAATTTTAAGCTATTTTTCTTGCAATTGCAACATATGTTTTTCAACCCCCTGAAACACTGTAATTAACTGTTTAAGGAAAAACATTCTGTGTGAATGACTACGAATCTTGATGATGTTCTTTTATTAGACAAAAATTTAGCGGAATGTACTGGAAACATAAATTAAAAAAAAAACGGTCTTTTCATACCTACTCAAGAAATTTCATATTTAGAGTTTATTTTAAATACAAAATTAATGGAAATGTATCCTACAGACAAAAGAAGTTTAAGATTAAAAAGTTAGTGTTGAAATTTTCCAAAAAATATAGATAGTATGTATCCATACTATATATAATATTGCTTATTCGCAACTTATAGGCACTTTAATTTCTTTTTGTTCCGCAGATAAGTACAGCTGGCTTTATAGATATTAAGAGAATTGAATAAGCTCAATACAAAGCCCTTAAGCGAAATAATGAAAATTATAACGCGTTCTTTGCGCCAACAAGTTTTTTTTCTGAAGTTTACGACTGGTGGCTCAGAAACATAGAATGTGCAGGTCAAAACTACATGCTTCCTAAATGTACTTCAATAACCTAGTATTGATGCATCAAAATCGGGCTAGGGTATTTATTATATATTATTTATTATAAATTATTTAAACGCTAGAGGTTTATGAGACCAAGAATATCATATACTGATAGAATGGGAGGTGTAAAACCTTAATTTTTTTTGCACCTTAATTTTATCACTACTAAAATTTGGAAATGATTTCCAGGAAAGAGACCTAGGCCCAACTGCAACCTAAACAAACCATTGCAAGATTTCTCTGGGCACAATCAAACAGTGTAATACAACATATAAAAAATGGTGGGTCTTTTGTCAGTTAAACATGATTTTCCTACCCAGTACTCATTACATTTTAAAATTTTTAAGTCAAGAATATCAAAATAATTCAAAATATAACACCCTTAACGCTCAGCGATCAGCCCTTAACATCTTAACGGATGCGGGGAGAACTGAATCAGTGGAAAGGCTTATGCGAGGTATATTTAAATGTAGACCATCATTCCCAAAATATGAAGAAATTTGGGATCCGTACCCGGTGTTAGTAATACTTGGAAAACTGTATCCATTACATGACCTTGACGTAAAATTTTTATCAATAAAATTAATCTTATTACTGGCCTTATGTACAGCACAAAGGATTCAAACTCTATCAAGTATACGGTTGGAAAATATACATCATAGAGAAGAAGGACTGCACCATCAAAATTAAATATATGTTAAAAACATCTACCCCAAAATCTGCACAGCCGAAGCTTCAAGTTTCTTTTTTGCTAAAACCCCAATCTTTGTGCTGCCACCACGATTTTGCATTACATAGAACCAAAAAAAAAAAACCAAAACCAAAAACCTTAGGGGTAACGAACAATACTTATTTATAACAACAAAAAAGCCATACAGACGGATCTCCACCCGTCCTTAAGTAAGTGGATAAAAGAGGGTTTTAAAAGGGGTGGTGTAAATGTAGACAAATTTAAAGGTCACAATACACGACATGCCGCGACTTCTGCGGCGTTGCGAATGAGGGTAACCATTGAAACCATTCGCAACGCAGCAGGCTGGTCCGAAAAATCATTAACGTTTTGTAAATTTTATAACAAACCAATAATAAGTGCGAAAGAGCAGTCGTTTACTAATTACATAAACGACATTATTAATAACAAAAAATAAGAAGTAGATTGTTAAGTCCTGTATACTTTAATGTTAATTGTTCGTCGTTACATAGGAAATTAAAATATAAAAACCTTATGAGTTTTGTTATAGTAGTTTATTAGAGTATG